GAGGGGAAAAGGGGGGACAAGGGGGGGGACACGAGGGGACAGGAGGGAGACACAGGAGGGACAATGGGGGGGACACCAAGGGACAATGGGGGGACACGAGGGGACATGAGGGGACACGAGGGGGCACATGTGGGGACACGAGGGGACGCTGGGGGGACATGGGGGGGACACTGGGGGACACGGGGGGACACTGGGGGACATGGGGGGGACACCAGGGGACACCGGGGGGGACACCAGGGGACGCGGGGGGGACACGGGGGGGACACGGGGGGGACACCAGGGGACACGGAGGGGACCCGGGGCCAGGGGAGCCCATCCCACATCCCCCACCCCAATTTTTTAACCCCCCCACGAAACCGAGACCCCTCCCCACCCCAGGGGTGTGACCCCCCCCCAGTTCTGGTGTTCTCATCCCAATCCTGGGGGTCCCTGCCCTAAACTGGGGGTCCCAGTCCCACTCCTGGGGGTCCCAGCCCTAAACTGGGGGTCCCTGCCCTAAACTGGGGGGTCCCAGTCCCACTCCCGGGGGTCCCTGCCCCAAACTGGGGGTCCCAGTCCCAAACCCCCGGGGGTCCCTGCCCCAAACTGGGGGTCCCAGTCCCAATCCTGGGGGTCCCTGCCCCAAACTGGGGGTCCCAGTCCCAAACCCCCGGGGGTCCCTGCCCCAAACGGGGTCCCAGTCCCAATCCTGGGGGTCCCTGCCCCAAACTGGGGGTCCCAGTCCCAAACCCCCGGGGGTCCCAGTCCCAATCCTGGGGGTCCCAGCCCTAAACTGGGGGTCCCAGTCCCAAACCCCCGGGGGTCCCTGCCCCAAACTGGGGGTCCCAGTCCCACTCCCGGGGGTCCCAGCCCTAAACTGGGGGTCCCAGTCCCAATCCTGGGGTCCCAGCCCTAAACTGGGGGTCCCAGTCCCAATCCTGGGGGTCCCTGCCCCAGACTGGGGGGTCCCAGTCCCAAACCCCCGGGGGTCCCTGCCCCAAACTGGGGGGTCCCAGTCCCAAACCCCCGGGGGTCCCAGCCCTAAACTGGGGGTCCCAGTCCCAAACCCCCGGGGGTCCCAGCCCTAAACTGGGGGTCCCAGTCCCAACCCCAGAATTCCCTGCCCCAAACTGGGGGTCCCAGCCCTAAGCTGGGGGTCCCAGTCCCAAACTGGGGGTCCCAGCCCCATCCTGGGGGTCCCAGCCCCATCCTGGGGGTCCCAGCCCAACTCCCAGGGGTCCCAGTCCTATCCTCGTGGTCCCAGCTCCATCCCGGGGGTCCCAGTCCCTTTCCTGGGGGTCCCAATCCTATTCTCGTCATCTCAGCCCCACTCTGGAGGGTCCCAGTCCCATCCCCCTGGTCCCAACCCCACTCTGGAGGGTCCCAGCCCTTTTCCCGGTGGTCCCAGCTCCATCCCGGGGGTCCCAGCCCCATTCCCATGGTCCCACCCCCACTCCCGGTAATCCCAGCCCTCTCCCGGTGATCCCAGCCCTCTCCCAGTGGTCCCAGCCCCTCTCCCGGGGATCCCAGCCCCTTTCCCGGTTATCCCAGCCCCTTTCCCGGTGATCCCAGCCCTCTCCCGGTGCTCCCACCCCACTCCCGGTGATCCCACCCCTACTCCTGGTTATCCCAGCCCCTCTCCTGGTGGTCCCAGCCCCTCTCCCGGTGGTCCCAGCCCCTCTCCCGGTGATCCCA